GAAAAGGTTTAAGAAACGCCCACTGACGGATTCTGCTAGCGACTGAAACAGCCACGAAGTGAAGGGCTGTCCAGACAGAAAAGGCTTAACCAGGCACACTAGCCAGGAGTGGCCGCAACTTACGCACAAGCAACCCCCTATAATCATTACAGTATGTTTTAAGGTTTTTTTTTAAAAAAATGTTTTTAATTGTTTTATTCTTCTTGCAATATGCTTCAAGGGTCTTTCCCCCCTTTTTGTTACACTCAAGCAGTAACAAAACTGGATTTCAGCACACATTTATCAGTAAGCACATTTTTGCAATCAATTTCCCCTCATTCTTGTATCTGCAATGTGCTTTTGTATGTTGTTGTCACTCATATCTGCATTTTACGAATGCTTTCCCTAATATATCCATTTTTGTACACATTATTTGGATGGAGAACTGTGCTGCAACGTTTGGAGAGGCACACATTTCAAGGGATAGCTGCATTACTGTCCATAAATTGTTAAAGGAAGCATGAATAAAGGAAGCGCAAACAGAACCAAATGCCGTCTCCATTCCTCGGTGTCACCACCATCAGGTCCTGCCTCTCATTGCCACATATCTCACCTCGGGTGGTAACTATGCCCACTCCAGAAATCTCCCAAGTGGAGACAGGAGTGTGAGAAGGGACTTTATTTTAGCAGAGGTTTTCCCCCAGTGCCAGATTTACATACAAGCTAAACAAGCTATAGCTTGGGGCCCCACTCTCTTGGGGCTCCCCAATTAAAGAAAAAAACCTGGATGTACATTTCCAAAATATAAGATAAAAAAAAATTAAAAAAAATCTACATACAGCAACAGTGTTTTGTGTTGTGTAGGCTCCTATTATGCATGTAATGGGCCCCCAATCTTTTTAAGTTAGAGCTTAATAATTATTCCACTATTAATATACTTCTTAATTTTATTTCACTATTAATATACTTCTTCTTAATTGTATTTCAGTTCAACAATTACTTTGATAAAATACATATTTTGTTATGTGCAGATGGCTTTAGATACCGCATAGGTCCAGAAATTGCCATATAGCATATATTCAACACAAAAAAAAGCGACAAATTGATGTTGACAAAGGACAGCTGGACATATAAAGGGCCCCATTACCTTCAATAGCTCAGGGCCTCATCAAACCTAAATCCGGCCCTAAATCCCCCCAAAAAGTTAATTCAAAATGGCAGAGTTTCTCTTTTAATCAATTGCAATTGTATGAAATAACGTTGTGTTGTTTTTGTTTTTAAGTTTGTTTACTGCCCTGAGTTCTTGTACTTGAGAAAGGTTAAGTCTCTCTTTCTCTCTCTCTCTCATAGATGACTGAAAGAAAAATGGCTTCTGCGCATGCTTTGATGTCATCGGAGCCCATACATTCTTATATAGATTAGTGAACACACAGCTCTGGAACGGAAGTTGCATAGAACAGCTGTTAAGTGACAAAAGAAATGAGCATCGGACCACAAGCCTGTCATAAACATTGCACTCTTAATCAGAGAACATCTGCTTTTCCATTTCTTTTACGACAACCTCTGCCTTATACTTAATCTGAAACAGAATGATTTTCCTAATAAGGTGCAACAGTGTTTTACAAATTGAAAAGCCTCCCTGCTAAAAAGAAAGGATACCAACTACAGACGTTTCAATTAACGCAACCATTTCTTATAAAATGTGTCTGTGCAGAGTGGAAGGGGGGCGGGCGTTGGGCAGGGTGGAAGAAATGACTCCACCATTTGGCAAACCCAGAGATTGCTCTGCGTTTGCGGAAATTTAATTATGGGCAAATTAGTGGTGCAGATGCCGACGCACAACGGGTTCCAAGCTCCCGCTACTCGATATGAGCTTTCCATTTAAGCGGGTAATGGAATGTGCATGGAAGAAATAAAATAATGCAACTTCTCCAAAAGGACAATTGACAGAAAACACATTTAAAATATTCGGTATGTTATACCATAGCTGCAGAACCATATTTTCCCAAGTATGTTGGTTTCATATGCGCATAAGGACATGAGATGAGCTTGGTGGATCAGGTGAATGGCTGTGTTCTCACAGAGGCTAACTAGATGCCTGTGGGAAACCCACAAGCAAGATTTGAGAACAAGAGGGATTTCCCGCCTCCTGTCATTTCCAGAAACTGGCATTCAGATGCATTACTGCTTCTGACTATGGAGTCTGAGCATAGCCCTTCTTGCTAGTAGCCCTCTCTAGGAATGATCGCTGGGTTGTGGAGCACACTTCCGCCCGTGGGCTGCCTCAGTTGTCTGCACGTGTGACCTTGGGGTGCGGAGCACACTCCCCCTCACAGGTAAAGCCACAGCTGTCTGAACATCTTGCCCTCTCTCTAACCTTTCGCGGTCTCAGTAGTCTGCCGTGTCCTGTCTGTGACCTTTGTCTCAGAGACCTTTGTCTCCTTCGTCATACATTGTGCAAGGGAAAAATGGCGTGGTGGAAACGGGTGCCAAAATAACTTTGTACCACCCCTCAATCTCGGGATTGGAAGATGTGTGAAGGTCACAGTCCAAAATGTATCTGACTGGTTTTGCATATTATGCCAATAAAAGGAGCCTCCACAGAGCTAGCCGGCAGCTTGCTTGCAGCTCGCCTGCGCACAGCTCACCTGCAGTACTAACTCCTGCCTCATGTCCTTCACTTCACCCTCGATAGCCCTCTCCTCCATGAATTTGTCTGATTTTCTTTTACAGTCATGCAAATTGGTGGCCACCACTGCCTCATGTGGGAGTGAATTCCATAGTTCAACTATGCACTGTGTAAATAAGTGCTTTCTTTTATAATAAATAATAATATATTTTTTTATTTATACCCCGCCCTTCCCGGTTCAAAAACCGGGCTCAGGGTGGCTAACAAATTTAAAACACTTTAAAACACTAAATTATAAAAGCAGCATAAAATACAGTATAAAAACATGAATAACAATAAAATTCAAAAATCAAGAATCAGTTAGATAATCCCCAGGGCTAGCTGGCTGAATGGGTCCTACTTGGGCCAGTGAGGAGGCCAGGGGAGAATTAGCTGTGGGGTCTCAGAGCGGGTGATCTTCATAAAAGGGGAGGGGGAGGGAAGAGAAGGGAAATAAAAGATCAGGCTGAATTCAAATTAAAGCCCGGCAGAATAGCTCTGTCTTACAGGCCCGATGGAAGGAGATTAAATCCTGTAGGGCCCTAGTCTCATGGGACAGAGCATTCCACCAGGTTGGAGCCATCATTGAAAAGGCCCTGGCCCTGGTGGAGGATAGTCTGACTTCCTTAGGGCCTGGGACGTCTAAACCAGGGCATATCAGGAGAGGCGGCCCCATAGATGAGGGCCCTAAGCCACTGAATCTTCCACCATTCAGCTTTGTCGAATATCTGCAAGTTCTAGTGCAAGAAGAAGAAGAGGAGGAGGAGGAGTTTGGACTTGATATCACACCCTTCACTCCCCTTAAGGAGTCTCAAAGCGGCTCACAATCTCCTTTCCCTTCCTCCCCCACAACAAACACTCTGTGAGGTGAATGAAGCTGAGAGACTTCAGAGAAGTGTGACTGGCCCAAGGTCACCCAGCAGCTGCATGTGGAGGAGCGGGAAAGCGAACCCAGTTCACCAGATTACGAGTCCACCGCTCTTAACCACTAGACCACATTGGCTCTCTAGAACATACACAGGAGTGCCTCCTCTGCCAGATGCCCGTTGTGTTGGGAGCATTGTTGTAAACTCAGAACCAAGACAAAGTTAGCCTTGTTGTCATTTGTAAATGTGAAACATCTCCACATTTCACTTTGAAATTGTACTATCTTGCAAACATTAAAAAACCCTAAATAGAAATTGCCAACTTCATTTCCCTCCAAATGCTCTACATCCAACAGCATTCATCATTTATAACAATAAATTATGTCGTGCCATTTACTCTGATTTCTTTTCTTTCTTACTTTTTTTTTTTAAGACAAGAAACAAAAATTCTCCCAACTCAGTTTGGTTCCAGTTTGGGCCAGACTAGTTTGGGAGCCCCGTGATCAGTGCTTACTTGCCTTTAAAAGAAAATGCTAATAGCATCTAAGGGCAGATGGGAGTGGGGTGCACAGAGGACAGGCAGGTGAAATCAGATTATTCAGATTGGGACTGGAGCAGGGAGGGCTAACCTGAATTGTACCTATGTGGTTTCCCCTGCAGGGCAAATGGTTGCAGAAGGGGACACTTCAGACTGTAAAAAAAGAGGGTTTTTCTGGAGCTGCAGAAGGGGTTAACTCTCTCCCAGTGTTGTGGTCCCGATCCAAAATCACACACACAAACACACACACACACACACACACACACACCAAGGTTGCTATTAACATTCTCTTTAAAGTGCATAGGATGGTATCTCGGAACTCCTGGTGCTGCAACGGTTTGCCCGTAAAACTTGGAAGGGAGGTAAAAGAAATCATTGCGGCAATAAATTATGATGATGGGGGTGGTGATAATAATCCTTTAACATATTTAATGCAGACAGAAAAAAGTTCCCTAGAAATACTGGTATCATTTTTCTTCTCTCCACTCACATATTCCTCCCCTGTCCCCTTATTTTCTAGGCAAGGAATGCTTTGTATACATATAATCCCCTTGCGCTTAATATCAGGGACAGCACACAAGCCCATCCTTCAGCGTAAAACAGCAAAAACACACACAAAAAACCCACTTTGCACATCCCATGTCGCTGTGAATATTACAATTATGTTCCGATGTTAATCCTGCTGCAGCAATTTCCTTGTTATGATTGCCTGCGTGAAAATGCAAGAGACAGCGCACATTTCCCTTTCCAATGGAACATGACACACACTTCGAGAGAGCTGATGAGACCAAATACTCTGCAGGAACATCCATACCTTTCAAGAGAAGCAAACAAATGAGCCAGCAGCTTCTGACAAGCCATCTACTTGATAGGGGCAGAATTTGCTGAGGGAAGCCAGATTTGGCTTTCTGATTAGCCTGTCCTATCTGGTGATTTCATTAGCAATTACCTCTAATGCTGTCGAATCTTGGTATGAAAATTGCAGAGCCGGGACCCCCAGATGGTTGATGAAATAATCAGAATCGCCTTGCATTTGCACGGAACTGACATTAAATTCTGCACATTTGTCTTGCCCAAGACAGGTGAAGTTGTGCCTCTGAAAAACATAAAATTAAATTCAAGGTTAGTTTTGGGAGTCACACGTTCAGCTATATTAAGTTTATCAAAACTACAGCAAATGTAGGTGATGTTTTCCTAAGCACATTAACCACCAGTATGCCTAGAGATTTGGTCAGCAATGCTACAATTTAAATGAATGTATTTTAAGAAATGTGCATGCTATTGTTGATGTAAAGACAAAGACAAATGCAATGCATTTGACTTGGGAGTCCGAACAGCAGCATGCACAATAATACTGTTTTATTATTGATCATTTCAACAGGGTTCACATTGATTTATCATACTTATTTAGCCTCGCAAGCCTAAGACATGGTGTAGGATGTTGTGACTGGAAAGCTCAAGACCCTTAGGAACAGTGGAAGATAAACCCATTAGTGTGAACCTCAGCTGAGGTTGCCTGCTGCCTTACTTCTGGTGGGAAGACACATGAACTAATGCCAGTGTACTGGAAGAAGCAAAGATCACCATTGTCAAATCAATGATTCTTCAATATCAGCTTTGTTGGGCTGGTCATGTTGTGTAGATGCCTGATTATCGTCTTCCAAAGCAACTACTCTATTCTGAACATAAAAATGAAAAGCGTAATGTTGGTGGTCAACAGAAGGGGTTCAAAGACTCTCCTAAGGCAAATCTTTAAAAATGTAGTATAAACACCGACAACTGGGAAACCCTGGCCTGCGCGTGCTCCAATTGGAGAACAGCCTTTACCTAAGGTGTCATGGGTTTTGAAGACACCTGAACTCAGGACGAAAGGGTCCACTGGTCCGGTTAGCTAGGGATGATGGGAATTGAAGTCCCAAACATCTGGAGGGCCGGAGTTTGCCTATAACTGTGCAAATGCATAGACATCTCTTATCATACCTTGAGGTCAAGGTGTAAAAGATTAATACAAGCTGGAGATTTCAGGAGGGACTCCAGCATACCATCCATGCACAGCTGCAACATCTGCATGACCACTTATCACAGTTGACATAGTGCCCTCCTGTCCAGCTGTTTGAGCAAAGGAGGGATATGTACGTGAGCACCCTGCAGTTATTTATTGTTCACTTATTTCATTAAATTCTATCTTGCCTGATCGTGAAAACAAAGCAAAGAGGTTTTCCAAAAGAAGAAAGCAATAAAATTATGGGCAAAAAAAAAACAGGTAAAGTCAGCTGTTTAAAACTTTCACAAAATTTAAAATCATACGTACTGCTGTTGTGCTGAACAGACAGCAAAGCCCGGAAGGCAGCAAGTGACCTCAGGCCAGTCTACACAAGTTGTGGCCCACCAAGCCTAAAAATAGCCTGAAAAATAAGTGACATGGCTTGCCAGACACTTGACAGTGTCCCTGTTTTTGCAGTTACAGATAGGTAGCCGTGTTGGTCTGCCATAGTCAAAACAAAACAAAATTCCTTCCAGTAGCACCTTAAAGACCAACTAAGTTAGTTCTTGGTATGAGCTTTCGTCTGCATGCACACTTCTTCAGATACACCTGTATTTGCAGTTCAAGTAAGGCTGGTTTACAGTGCCCTTGGTATACTGGATGCGTAGAATTGGGAAAGGACCTCCAAGAGGTGTTTGGCTTGGTGGGTCACCAGTTACACAGAGTTGTCGTTAAAGCACACAATCCAATTCAGCAAATTGCTTCAGATAGCAGCTGATTCCTATTCAACCAAACCCCTCACTCCTTGGTTCTTAATTTACCTCTACCCTCTTGAGCTTTCTTGAATCAGAGTTTACAAACACTTCAGAAAGATATTTAACAACCTCACACTGTGTGCCAGTTTAGAAATGCAGATTTCTTACTTTTCTTTAAAAAACAACAACACAAAACCCTACACTCCCCCAATCCTGATACACAAACATGCATGTCTTGTATTGCAGCACAGAGAAAACTGATCTGTTGATTAATGGGGATCATGGCATGCTAAATCACTTAAGCAGTCACTGAAAGACAAGAATTAAACTACTTTATTTTAAAGAAATGTTGCAGTCCTTCACTAGATAGACCTTAGAATAGCCACACAACTTCTAAGTACTTACCTTAAGTCTGACTTGCCCTCAAACTTACAGCAAGTTTGATATGGCATCAAGAATATGTCCCCACCACAGCCCTTCAGTACTTTACTTATTACATCACACACAGGGACACTCTAAAGTTTCCGTAACTCTGGATATTTATTTTTTTATTTACTTATTTATTTAACTTCTATACCACCCTGAAGATCGAAGGGCAGTTAACAATTTAAAAACCACAAAAATACTTACTAGCACCCACCCCTGCAACCGTTTAAAAGGTCATAGATTGTTCAATCAGCCGAAGGCCTGGAAGAAGAGGAATGTTTTTGCCTGGCACCTAACAATATGTAACTAAGGCACTAGGCGGGCCTCTCTGGGGAGAGCATTCTACAAATGGGGAGCAACCACAGAAAAGGCCTGTTCTCGTGATGCTGCCTTCTGGTCCTTATTCCAAGGCGGATAGCTGGTCTGTCTAGCTCAGTGTTATCCATCCTGATTCACTAAGGATTTCCAGGATGTTAGAGAGAGGACATTTCCAACCTCGCTAGATGGTACCAAGAACTGAACCTGAATCTTTCGTTCATGCAAAACAGATACTCTACCACTGAGTTACATTCTTTTGCTTGAAATAATAATAATAATATAATAATTTATTATTTATACCCTGCCCATCTGGCTGAGTTTCCCCAGCCACTCTGGGCGGCTCCCAATCAAGTGTTAAAAACAGTACAGCATTAAATATTAAAAACTTCCCTAAACAGGGCTGCCTTCAGATGTCTTTTAAAGAGAAGATAGCTGCTTATTTCCTTCACATCTGAAGGGAGGGCGTTCCACAGGGTGGGCGCCACTACTGAGAAGGCCCTCTGTCTGGTTCCCTGTAACCTCACTTCTCGCAATGAGGGAACTGCCAGAAGGCCCTCGGCGCTGGATCTCAGTGTCCAGGCTGAACGATGGGGGTGGAGATGCTCCTTCAGGTATAAAGGACTGAGGCCCTTTAGGGCTTTAAAGGTCAGCACCAACACTTTGAATTGTGTTCGGAAACGTACTGGGAGCCAATACAGATCTCTCAGGACCAGTGTTATGTGGTCCCGGCGGCTACTCCCAGTCACCAGTCTAGCTGATGCATTCTGGATTAATTGCAGTTTCTGGGTCACCTTCAAAGGTAGCCCCACGTAGAGCGCCTTGCAGTAGTCCAAGCGGGAGATAACTAGAGCATGCACCACTCTGGTGAGACAGTCTGCGGGCAGGTAGGGTCTTAGCCTGCATACCAGGTGGAGCTGGTAGACAGCTGCCCTGGACACAGAATTGACCTGCACCTCCATGGACAGCTGTGAGTCCAAAATGACTCCCAGGTTGCGCACCTGGTCCTTCAGGGGCACAGTTACCCCATTCAGGACTAGGAAGTCCTCCACACCTGCCTGCCTCCTGCCCCCCAAAAACAGTACTTCTGTCTTGTCAGGATTCAACCTCAATCTGTTAGCCACCATCCATCCTCCAACCGCCTCCAGGCACTCACACAGAGTGAAAAACCCTCTCATTCCAGATGGGACTCAAACCAACTCAACACCCCCCCCGGGGGGGGGTTATAAAGTGGGAAGCAGGTCTATATAAGGAACTTTACACGTTTCCTTAATGCAGGAGACAGTGACAAACACAGCAATCCGAAGAGGAGAAGGTATTTGCTTGGGGATCAGTTTAACATCTTGGCATCAGCTGTTCAAGCACATTCTCTTCTCTGAAAAATTCAAAGCACACCGGGAAATTCCAGGGGCAAGAAGAGAGAAGATGGATTGTTAACATTAATTAATTTGCCAGTGCATTTAGCTCACTTTTTCAAGCCGGTTTCTCTAGCTTTTGCTGCTCGACATTCTGATTATTGTAATGTTGCCAGATTTTATCAGGCACACCGTATGGCATTCCTTTTTGCTACACTGCACACAGCATCTTTTAAAGGATACGTTCAGAGGGAATGGTAATGCGGGAGGAATTCATTTCAATTAGATGTTGCCACTTGCAATTCCCTCTTTGTCAGCAATCTGGTCAGCTTCAGCTGCACGCTCTGGCCCTCAATTGATTGTTCAGTAGCAAGAGAACAAGTAGCCTTCCCCAGCTTTGGCACCTTCTGGATGGTTCAGACTACAACTCCCATCAGCCTTGAGCATTGACAACGCTTGGTGAGGCTGATGGGAGGTGGAGTCCAACAACATCTGGAAGGCCAAAGGAGCCTCCACCCAGAGGAAGACTCTTAATTAGGATTTTCCCAGACATTACCAGGATTTGAAAGGCAGAATTGACACCGGGGGGGGGGGGGGAGAGAGATTCTGAAAGGTGGCACTTTGTCATGGATTCTTAAAAAAAGCTCTATAATTTTGAGGTCTTCCTGAGAAAAGCTCAACAACTTTTACCTTTTGAGATAGTTTCTCAAAATTCTAGTTTTAACTGCACGGAGTGCTGAAAGAACAACTGTTCCCAGAATGCATTGTGTCCAGGATTACTTCTTCTGGGCTGTTGGAGGGAGAGGAGAGGGAGAGAGACGTTGGCAGAAGAAGTAAGGTAAACAAACCTCCATTTTGCTTCTCATTGCTGCTCCTGCTTCTGCCAAGAGGGTAAGAAGGAAGGGAAAGCATCTTTAGATACTATCTCCTTGGGGAGACAAGAGGGCGACAGAAACAAGAAGGGGCAAGACAACACTGTTGGAAAGTTCCCCCTCATTTCAGATTTGGGGTGGAAAGATTGGAACCCCCCCATCCAATTGGAGGAGAAACTTTGAGGGTTCTACCATCTCTAAATACATGCTCACATTTTTATGCACTATGTACAAGTTGTCTCAAACGTAGAAGAAGGTGAGGTACAAATGAGACGTAATTTTCAAGACAATACTTACGGGCATGCATCTTGCTCAAAAAATGTTACGGGGTTTTTCTCATCTCTGGTTGATGAAAAAAATACTGCTTATGAGTAACGAGATAGAGTATT